TACCAATGTAACCACCAGTAATGTAATGCAAAGCTTCATTGTACCTGCAAACAGCATTTGCAATGTTCAGATCAACTGTAAACCAAATTTCTATGCTTGAAATTGTATCATCAAAGTCAGTTCACTCAATACAGTAAATAAAAGTTTCCTGTGCACCACTGCAGTAATGCAAGTATGTATATACAGTTTAAATAGTGGGTCCCTGTTTTGTCATGACAACATGGGGTAAGTTGACCACTATAGGACCAAGGGAGCAGAGCCCACTGGTTTGGGGGCTAAGTGTTACAAAATATTACTTACTTCACAAAATATGGTGCATGTTCCTTTTGATTTTGAATAGTGGCATGTAAATTGTATTGACTCTGAATTTCAGAGGGAGAGGGAGAGGGAGAGGGAGAGGGAGAGGGAGAGCGAGAGGAGAGGGAGAGGGAGAGGGGAGAGAGAGGGAGAGAGGAGAGAGAGAGAGGGAGAGGAGAGAGGAGAGAGAGAGAGAGAGGAGAGAGAGAGAGAGAGAGAGAGAGAGAGAGAGAGAGAGAGAGAGAGAGAGAGAGAGAGAGAGAGAGAGAGAGAGAGAAAGGGAGAGAAAGAGGGAGAGAAAGGGAGAGAAAGAGGAGAGAGAAAGGGAGAGAAAGAGAAAGAGAGAAAGAGGGAGAGAGAGGAGAGAGAGAAAGAGGAGAAAGAGGGAGAGAAAGGGGAGAGAAGAGGGAGAGAAAGAGGGGGAGAGGGAGAGAGAGGGGGGAGAGGGAGAGAGAGGGGGGAGAGGGAGAGAGGGGGGGAGAGGGAGAGAGAGGGGGGAGAGGGAGAGAGAGGGGGGAGAGGGAGAGAGAGGGGGGAAGAGGGGAGAGGGGGAGAGGGAGAGAGAGGGGGGAGAGATGAGAGGGAGAGAGAGGAGAGAAGAGAGGGGGAGGAAAGAGGGGGAGGGGACAGAGAGAGGGGGGAGAGGGACCAGAGAGAGGGGGAGAGGGACAGAAGAGAGGGAGGAGAGGGACGAGAAGAGAGGGGGAGAGAGGAAAGGGACAGAGAAGGGAGGAGAGAGGGGGAAGAGGGACAAGAGAGGGAGAGGGAACAGAGAGAGAGAGAGAGAGGGAGAGAAAAGAGATGAGAAAGAGACGAGAGAGACGGAGAAGAGGAGAGACGAGGGAGAGAGGAGAGGGAGAGAGGAGAGAGGGAAGCGGAAGGGGAGGAGAGAGGAGAAGAGAGACGGAGAGAGAGGAGAGAGAGGAGGAGGAGGGAGGGGACAGAGGGAGAAGGGGGAGAGGGGGACAGAGAGAGGGGGAGAGGACAGAGAAAGGAGTAGGGACAGGAGAGGGGGAGAGGGACAAGAGAGAAAGGGACAGAGAGAGGGGGAGAGGGACGGGAGAGAGGGGAGAGGGACAGAGAGAGAGGGAGAGACAGAGAGCGAGGAGAAAGAGAGAGGGAGAGAGAGAGAGAGAGGAGAGAGAGAGAGAGACGAGAGAGACGAGAGAGAGAGAGAGAGAGAGAGAGAGAGAGAGAGGAGAGAGAGAGAGAGAAGAGAGAGAGAGAGAGAGAGAGAGAGGGAGAGGAGAGAGAGGGGAGAGGGACGAGGAGGGGGAGAGGACAGACAGAGAGGAGAGGGGACAGAGAGAGGGGAGGGACAGAGAGAGAGGAGAGGACAGAGAAGAGAGGGAGAGGAACAGAAGAGAGAGGGAGAGACGAGAGAGAGAAAGAAAGAGAGAGAGGAGAGAGAGAGAGAGAGAGAGAGAGAGACGAGAGAGAGAGAGAGAGAGAGAGAGAGAGGACGAGAGGAGAGGAGAGGAGAGAGGGAGAGGAGAGAGGGAGAGGGAGAGGGAGAGAGGAGAGAGGAGAGGAGAGGGAGATGAGAGGAGAGGGAGAGGGAGAGGGAGAGCAGAGAGGGAGAGGAGAGAGAGAGGAGGAGGGAGAGGGAGAGGGGAGAGGAGAGGGAGAGGAGAGAGACGAGGGAAGGAGAGGAGAGGAGGGGAGGAGAGAGGGAGAGAGAGGGGGAGAGGAGAGAGAGGGGGAGAGGAGAGAGAGGGGAGAGGGGAGAGAGAGAGGGGAGAGGGAGAGAGAGGGGGGAGAGGGAGAGAGGGGGAGAGGGAGAGAGAGAGGGGGAGAGGGAGGAGAGAGAGGGGGAGAGGGAGAGAGAGGGGGAGAGGGAGAGAGAGGGGGGAGAGGGGAGAGAGAGGGAGAGGGAGAGAGAGGGGAGAGGAGAGAGAGGAGAGGAGAGAGGGGGGAGAGGGGAGAGGGGAGAGAGAGAGAGAGGGGGAGAGGGAGAGAGAGGGAGAGGAGAGAGAGGGGGAGAGGGAGAGAGGGGAGAGGGAGAGAGAGGGGGAGAGGGAGAGAGAGGGGGGAGAGGGAGAGAGAGGGGGAGAGAGAGAGAGAAGGGGAGAGGGAGGAGAGGGGGGGAGAGGGAGAGAGAGGGGGAGAGGAAGAGAGAGAGGGGAGAGGGGAGAGAGAGAGAGGGGGGAGAGGGAGAGAGGAGAGAGGGGGAGAGGGAGAGAGAGGGGAGAGGAGAGAGAGGGGGGAGAGGGAAGAGAGGGGAGAGGGAGAGAGAGGGGAGAGGGAGAGAGAGGGGGAGAGGAGAGAGAGGGGGAGAGGAGAGAGAGGGGGGAGAGGAGAGAGAGAGAGGGAGAGAGAGGGGAGAGGGAGAGAGAGGGGGAGAGGGGAGAGGGAGAGAGAGAGAGAGAGAGGGGAGAGGGAGAGAGAGAGAGGGAGAGAGAGAGAGGGAGGGAGAGGGGGAGAGGGGGAGAGAGGGGGAGAGGGGAGAGGGAGAGAGAGGGGAGAGAGGGGAGAGAGGGAGAGAGAAGAGGAGAGAGAGGGAGAGGGAGAGAGAGGGGAGAGGGAGGAGGGGGAGAGGGAGAGAGAGGGAGAGAGGAGAGAGAGGGGAGGAGAGGGAGAGAGAGGGGGAGAGGGAGAGAGAGGGGGGAGAGGGATAGAGAGGGGGAGGGATAGAGAGGGGGAGAGGGAGAGAGAGGGGGGAGAAGGGGGAGAGGGAGGGAGAGAGAGGGGGGAGAGGGAGAGAGAGGGGGAGAGGGAGAGGAGAGGGAGAGAGGGGAGAGGGGAGAGGGACAGAGAGAGGGGAGAGAGAGAGGGGAGAGAGGGACAGAGAGAGAGAGAGAGGAGAGAGAGAGAAAGAGAGAGAAAGAAGAGAGAGAAGAGAGAGAGAAAGAAGAGAGAGAGAGAGAGAGAGAGAGAGAGAGAGAGAGAGAGGAGAGAGAGAGAGAGAGAGAGAGAGAGAGAGAGAGAGAGAGAGAGAGAGAGAGAGAGAGAGAGAGAGAGAGAGAGTGATTTCCATGAGTGAGAGTAAATGAGTGAGAGAGAGAGTGATTTCCATGAGTGAGAGTAAATGAGTGAGAGAGTGAGTGATTTCCATGAGTGAGAGTAAATGAGTGAGAGAGAGAGTGATTTCCATGAGTGAGAGTAAATGAGTGAGAGTGAGTGATTTCCATGATCTTTTTCCTTTATTTGTGTTACTGTTTGTATCTGCAGATTATTTCCTGCACTTTTGTCCTCTTCTAGATTATCATCTTCAATTTGCCAAAGCTAAGTGTATCCATACTGTACAGATTAGCCAATTAAAAATAATTCAATAGCAATAGCAGGGGAGGGCATGAAGTATAACAGGGAAATTATGGGGTAAAACAAGCTAAAAGATGAAGAATAGATAACAGAAATGCATAAAACCAGCAGAAAAAAATAAAATAAATAAAATCAGCTTAAGAAACCGGAAGGTGGGATTCTTACCCACCTTTCAGGAAAATCTATGAAATTCACACCACTCACTATGTCCTGACCAATAAAGCAACCTAATTCCATGTCACAAACTTCATTCAACAATCTAAGTTGCTATGACTATGTGTGCCCAAGGGGAGGGGTTGATGGGGGGCTCTGCTCCCAGGAACCATTCTCTTCACCTCGGTATGTACAGCCAGATAGAGCTGCATACATACCTTAAAGAATAAACCAAACACCTTTATATCTCGAAACACCAAACTTTCCTTCTCTTCTGTCTATTTTCTGGATGGCTTGGTTTCTAATAACCTTTTCCAGCACTTTAGGTCCCTTTCCAGGCTCACATATCAAGCTGTGAGGTCTATTTCTTCTGCACTGCCACTATATTGTTTTATGAAGGACCCGGAATAGACGCAACAGTGAAAATTAACCAGCTAAGCTAAGCTACTACTATGCTAGGCTAGGATAGGATAAGCTAAGCTAAGCTTGGCTACGCTAAGGTAACCTCATTGAGTGGTATCACCTTGTTTGTTTTACCATGCATGCACAAACAATTTTTTTTTTTTTTTTTTTTTTTTGTCGTACACATAGTCGCTTTCAATTCTTTTTAATTTCTTTTTTTTAAAGCATGCCCTTTTCAGAAATATGGAAATGGCCAGCCTAGCATCAGAAAACAAAAAAAAAAAGGACCGAGTGTTCTTGGTTATAAAATATTCTGTTAAAACCTTAATTTGGAGAACCGATCGAAACTCTGTAGAGTGAACATCAATATGAGCTAATAGAGTAAACTATCTTTACATATTACCAAACTCAGTGAAGTGAAAGCTTATAAACACAATCCTTGATCTGGATCCATGTGATGAACCTGGTAAAAGCAATGTAATGAATTATGAACACCAGAAAAACAGCAGATGGAGAAACAGCAACAGTGAAGATTAGCCATACTCCAAACAAGCATGAAATGATGAAACCTGCAGACAGACCACGTAACATCATACCCACACATTAGAAACTCAAGGTACCTATCAAGAAAATGTAGTACTGATTCAATTGGCTAACAAATCAATTACTTCAAACTTAAACCATCCAATCAAATTAACAGAGGCTATAAACAAAAAAATTACCACAAATACATAATTGAAAATTCCCTAAGAATTCTAGGAGATGAAAAAGGTACTAGGTTTGAAGTGACTGATTTGAATAAGATCGGACCTCTGAATGAAATCAAATACCTTGGTAACTGGGAAGTCCTATGTAAGCAACCAGCCTCAAACAAAAACCAAGGATGCACATATGGTACATTCTCCCCAGCAGACTTTGATATAGAAATAAATGAAATCAAAGAAAAAATCAAAATCTTAAGGAGACCAGATTCACAAATGAAAGAAATAGCAAAACTAAAAAAACTAAAAAAAGGATCTAGAGAAAACAATGGGTTAAAATGTTAAAAGGTTAAAACAAAGGCTTTAAAATGAACTTTCAGAGGTCCATTGCCCACCAAAATAACCATATGACATACAAGTTATTTTCCAGTATACATTTCCCATCTCAAAACACTACAAATGTCTAATGTATGGTCACGAGACCATTTCCTGCAAAAACAGAATCCGATGCAGTAATTGCATCTGATTTTGTAACAAATTTAAAGACTGCCCATATCCCTCTCACTTTTTTTTTTCTTCTTCTTCTTCTTTTAATGAAGGTAAACATTCAGTATATGACAAAACATGTTCAACACATTGGAAAGCCCAAGACAAACAAAAACATCATAACACGAAATAACTTGGAAGTAAAAAAAACTCTTTCATCAGTTAAACCCTACAATACAAAAATCAAATAAATCAATCTACAAAAACATAATGACCACAGCTGAGATACAAAACACAGATACGGAATATGACCAACACACAGATGACCACACAAACACTACACAACAAACAAACCAAAACACAACACAAACATTTGCTCAAACATTAACATAAACAGAATAGAAGATACACCAAACCCATCAGTGAAACAAAAACATATGAACAATCACAAGAAAACAAAAGAACAAACACACACATGAACAAAACTCAAAAGACTAGGAACACGTAATATCCCCAGTGACATGGACACTCCCGAAGCCATGACCTAAGACCTTAACAACAAAAGAAAGGAAAAACAAAGAAGAAAAAAAACCATCTTGGATAGAAATTACAAAAGATATCAAAATTAATATCAAATATAATCACAAATTAAAAATCCGATAAATCAATATTTGAAATACTTACAGAAATAATAACAAGCTACTCCAATCTTAAAAGAAATTATTGAATGGATTAATGAATAAATAAATCCTCTGGAATGCTGGATCAGTAATGAACAAAAGAATAGATACAGACTACTTAATATACAATGAAAACCCAGAGGTATTCAAAATCTGTGAAATATGCCTTGCTAAAAATGATAACTTTAATATAAAAGATTAGGATATAATAAGATAAGACAGTACAGAACTAAGGAAAGGAGGCCTAGCAATATCTATACAAAAGTATAAAAAAATAAACTTTAACAAAATACTAACTGGAAAAATAGAAACAAAGACTAGCCACAAGAGGTTTAAATTCACTACTGACTTATAACCCAAGCAATAACATATCAACAAGATGTAGAAGATTACACTAATCAACTAGAAAAAACAAAACTGATATCAAGGAGACTTCAATTCTCACCAACCTTTATGGAACTGAAATAAACCTTATAAAGTTATTCAATTTGATAAATCAAAATAACTTAATATTGCTAACCTCTACAGGACAAATCACCAGCATAGACCCAAAAACAGGGAAAGGAACTACTTAAGATTTAGTCCTTGGTACCCCTGAATGAAGTCACAGAAATAATAATAAATATAAATGGAGGAAGTGACCATCTACCTGTCATAATAAAAGATAGCAGCCCCAACATAGAAACTCAAGTTAAGGAAAAAAATACAAGTCTAATAAAGAAGGTTAGATAACATACAAAGAAGAATTATATAATATTGATATAAACACGATAAAGTCATTAAAAGATATAACTGAACTAATAAAAAGCATGGGAAAAAACATTTGAAGTTAAACAATGATTTTAACAACAGTAAGCCATGTAGACCCCGGCAGAACCAAAAATGCAAAGAAATCATAAAACTAAGAAATAAAGCATTTAACAAATGGAGAAAAAATGAAAAAAACAAAATAGAATACAAGAAACTTTAAATTACGGCAACAAACATTATAGACATATAAAAAAGAAATAGCTGGTTAAATTTCTGCTTATCCCTAGACTTTAACATGCCAACCAGAAAAATCTGGAATTTCATTAAAAAACGCTGGTGACAACAAAATCAGTAATTATCCACTACTCTACAACAATCAACCGGTCCAAAAAATCAAACAAACTAGCATTGCTAAAAGAACTTCAAATAATAATAAACAAAAACTAAATGCTTGATAACAAAATCAGAATTTAAAAATATAACAGAAATACTAAGCTCAAAATGATCAAGTAAAAAACACATATTAAAAGAATTAATCTTGATAACAAAAAAAGAAAAGAAAAGAAAAAATTTAAGCCTTTGGACCGATTAAAATTCCATATGAATTTTTTAAAAAATACCCCAAATAAACTATTAGAAAAAATACTAACTTTGTTTAACCATTACTGGTTAAAGGAAAATCTCCCCCTGAATTAAAAAAAAAAAACAATAGTAAATCCAATACTTAAACCAGGCAAAGACCCAACTGACAAAAACTCAAAGATTCATAAGCAGAATATCATCCATTGGTAAAATATTTGAAAGCATAATAAATAATAGATTAAACTGGAGGTTAGAAAGTAAAAATAAACTATGTGAAGACCTAACAGGTTTTAGACCAAATAGTTCAACCATAGATACACTACATATAATAGACTTTCATATCAACAAGGTCTTCAAAAAGAGAAAAAAAAATATGCACCAATTGCTTGTCTAGATTTATAGAAAGCATCTGATACAATCAGCCATGATGCAATAATAAAATCAGCAAAAACTGGAATAACTGGCACCTCACACAAATGGATTCATAACTTCTTAAATGATGCATCTTATTGAATAAAAATAGGAAACAAAAAGTCTGTAGAAGGAAAAATAACAAAAGGACTACCATAAGGGTCACCTCTGGGTCCTCTATTCTTGAACATAAAAGCAATTTGGAAACAGGATTAAAACAAATTTTAGAATGGACTAATAATTGGGAGTTAACAACAAACCTAACAAAAAGTAGTCGTATTTTACAAAAAAAAAAAAAAAAAAAAAAAAAAATCAATATGACAGATACCAATGGTAAGAATAAATAATGAACTAAAATTTACAACAAACAACACAATGCTAGGTCTAGAATTCGATGCTCCTATGGTTTATAAATCTTTGGCATAGCTAATAACACAAAAATGATTTTTTTTTTTTTCAAAATAATGCTCTGAAGTATATACAGATATATCTACAGGCTGCTTAAAATCCACCCCAGTAGTTGCATTATACACTTACAAATAAGATGCCCATCAAAAATAAACTAAAAGAACAAGAGTATATCTAAATGTTAAAAAACTAGAAAAAACAGAAAATATTCATATAAAAAAATCAATAAGTACAAAAGAATATAAACCCCCCAAAAATAAAAGAAACTTACTTCACAGTCTTAGAAACCTGCAAAGAATTACATATAACTATAAAAACAAAAATATTGCCAAACAAAAAATTATTCTCAGATGGTAAAAAAATAAACAACACAAATTCGCGACAGGAATCGAGCAGGCGGTACATTTATCGAGTTGCCAGATGCATTCCTCCTACTTCGAATATTTTATGCATATTCGTACTTATATTGGATATCTATAACACAGTACTACCCACCATATGATATCAAAAGCCATCATGCATATTATATTCCAAAATACTGTTTACCTGTTGGAAAAATAACCAGTACAGTAAAATAGCAAGCCGTCAACTGCGGCCACTCTCATTACGTCATAGAAATGGGCAGAAATTAAGAAGCCTGCCTCGCCTCCAATCATGAGATAGCTTTTGGTGTCACATCGCATAGCAAGACACCCTAATTGCCACCGGAAAAGATGCTTTATGACTAATATATATCCAAAACAATAGATTACCAAAATCTGTAATATTCTCTGTTTCCAAATCTGCCCTACATTTTATATCTAACTTGAAACCAAAAAGGTATAAACACATTACATTTGAAATACAAACAATGATGTACACACATAAAAACATACATGGCAATATAATGGCTGACCAAGCAGCAAAAAAAAAAAGCACATAATGTAAGAAGTCCAATAACCATACGTGAGGATACAAAAACAATGAAAAAGATAAGAATAAAAGATCAAACCAACTGGAAAACTCAACTAAATACAATCTTCAACAAGAAGAGTTGCCTCTTGAAAAAAAACAGAATCTCAGCCATGGACAAAATAAAAAAACAGAAAACTAGATGTCTGTATAACAAGAATCAAAGCAACACAGACTAAACCAGCACCTACACAAAATGAAAATAATAACCAACCCACTATATGGATAGTGTCATAACTAAGAAGAAAACAGAACATATAATACTAGTGTCTAAGATTTTATTCTTGCAGAACGGAGTTGAATGGAGCACTTAGAAAAAAATAATAATAATAAACAATCAAATTAAATAACCCTAAGATAGAATTATTATTCACAGCTGCAGACCTTTCGCTAACAAGTACTATATCGTCAGGCATACCAAAATCTTGAGAAAAAACAGACCAATAGAGATTATATGAGAAAAAGAAAGAAAAGAAAAAAGATCCGGGGGATATTGACTATACAAAAGTCTAAAACCCTATAAAAAGAAGAAAGAAATTTTAATTTCTTTCACATTTTAATTACACAGAATCAAACTCAAAAGCACATAGTGATTCATATTCAGAACTGTTAAGAGGAAATGTCTCATCTCTCTGTCGTAGGACTGTCAAAACCTATTTCCGGTGTTGCAGCAGTCAATCTCTCTTTGGCATAATTCAGATGTTTTTTTCGCCAGTAAACCCTACCTCAGCGATATGAAATAAGTTAACAAATAACCATTTCGTCGATTTATACAATTGCAATAGACGCACCGCAATTGTTCTAAGTGAAAAGAGGGTCCCTCGAGCCGCCGTGTCGCTCACCAGTTGCTGACCGACGAGGACTGCAAAGCGGGGCGGCGAGTGCGCAGCGAGAGCGCTCGTGCGGCGGGCGGGCGCAGCCGGTCCATCTCCGTTGGCGGGTCACGTGAGCAGGCCGTTTCCATGGGCTCGGCTGCGGTCGACATAGAATCGAATATGTTTAGGAATGATGCACATACATACATACATACATATGTAGATACAGTATATATATATATATATATATATATATATATATATGTATGTATATATAGATACATCTATAATATATAAATATATATATATACATATATATATAATATATATATGTATGTATAGATACATTTATAAATATATATGATATATATATACATATTATATAATATATTTATATATAACATATGTAATATATATATACATATATATATAATATATATATATATATATATATATATATATATTATATATATATGTGTGTGTGTGTGTGTGTGTGTGTGTGTGTGTGTGTATATGCATATATATAAATATATATGTATGTATATATAATATATATATATAATATATAGATACATTTAATATATATACATATATATATGATATATATATATGTATATATACATGTAATATATATATATATATATATATATATATATATATATATATATGCATATCTATAATATATATATATAATATATGTAGAGTTACGTATTTTTGTTACACGAACGCGCCCCCGATTCATGGATTCGTGTACGCGAATAGGGTGGTCGTGAGGCCCACTGGGGGTGTTCACTTTTATTTTTAATGCCTTTTCTGACAACCTTTGAGCAAGCACTCGCACATTTTCTAAACGCCGCACCACCAGAAGGATATATAACAAGTTTTGGGTCTGATAGGAGCTCGTTTAACCCACACTCAAACCTCTTCCAATTTTGGGAGGGTCACTTTTGGGCATGTCTGGCAAGCATAATGCAGTGGGTAATTTGTCTGGTATTGACTATTCTGTACTCTCTGATATGGGTCGAAGTATATTAAATTTGTTTCAAGTGATACCACTAATTTTTGATCCAGCCAAAAATGTTATGCCTTTTTTGGGTGTCTGGCGGGCCTAATGCAGCTGGCAGTATGTCTGGCAAGGGCCATTTGGACTTGGTAGGATGTTACCTTTCATTCGATAGTAGTTTCATTCAATACCTTTTATTTATTTATTTAATTTTTTTTATCTACAAGTTTGGCAGAACACTGCATGGGGTCAACTTTTGGGCGTGTCTAGAGGGCATAATGTAGCAGGTAATTTCTCTGGTATTGTCCATTCTGTACTCTCGCAGATGTGTTGAACTATATAAACTTCATTTCAGGTGGTACCAATAATGTTTGATCCAGCCAAAAATGTTATGCCTTTTTTGGGTGTCTGGCGGGCCTAATGCAGCTGGCAGTATGTCTGGCAAGGGCCATTTGGACTTGGTAGGATGTTACCTTTCATTCAATAGTAGTTTCATTCAATACCTTTTATTTATTTATTTAATTTTTTTCATCTACAAGTTTGGCAGAACACTGCATGGGGTCAACTTTTGGGCGTGTCTAGAGGGCATAATGTAGCAGGTAATTTCTCTGGTATTGTCCATTCTGTACTCTCGCAGATGTGTTGAACTATATAAACTTCATTTCAGGTGGTACCAATAATGTTTGATCCAGCCAAAAATGTTATGCCTTTTTTGGGTGTCTGGCGGCCCTAATGCAGCTGGCAGTATGTCTGGCAAGGGTCACTTTGTACTTGGTGGAATGTTACCTTTCATTCAATAGTAGTTTCATTCAGCACCTTTCATTTTTTTATCTACAAGTTTGGCAGAACACTGCATGGGGTCAACTTTTGGGCGTGTCTAGAGGGCATAATGTAGCAGGTAATTTCTCTGGTATTGTCCATTCTGTACTCTCGCAGATGTGTTGAACTATATAAACTTCATTTCAGGTGGTACCAATAATGTTTGATCCAGCCAAAAATGTTATGCCTTTTTTGGGTGTCTGGCGGGCCTAATGCAGCTGGCAGTATGTCTGGCAAGGGCCATTTGGACTTGGTAGGATGTTACCTTTCATTCAATAGTAGTTTCATTCAATACCTTTTATTTATTTATTTATTTATTTATTTTTTATCTACAAGTTTGGCAGAACACTGCATGGGGTCAACTTTTGGGCGTGTCTAGAGGGCATAATGTAGCAGGTAATTTCTCTGGTATTGTCCATTCTGTACTCTCGCAGATGTGTTGAACTATATAAACTTCATTTCAGGTGGTACCAATAATGTTTGATCCAGCCAAAAATGTTATGCCTTTTTTGGGTGTCTGGCGGCCCTAATGCAGCTGGCAGTATGTCTGGCAAGGGTCACTTTGTACTTGGTGGAATGTTACCTTTCATTCAATAGTAGTTTCATTCAGCACCTTTCATTTTTTTATCTATAAGTTTGGCAGAACACTGCATGGGGTCAATTTATGGGCGTGTCTGGCGCTAATAATGTAGCAGGTAATTCGTCTGGTATTGTCCATTGTCTCAGATATGTTGAATTATATAAACTTCATTTCAGGTGGTACCAATAATGTTTGATCCAGCCCAATTTTTAGGCCCTTTTTGGGCGTCTGGCAGGCCTAATGCAGCAGAGATTATGTCTGGCACGAACCATTTTTTACCCAGTGTGATGTGTAAATTACCCTGAAATACATTGTGTGGTATCTCTCTATGTTTGATCTAGCTGATTTTTTGCCCTCTTTGGGGGTCCCCAGGGGCCAAACGCAGCAGGGGGTCCCCTGGAAGACGTCCATTTCTTCATATGCCGTATCATTCTCTACATGATCCTGTACTCAGCAATTGGAACCAATTGCTGAGTACCAAACCTCTCTTATCTGCTGCTCTATCTGTCTCCGTGCGTCGTCTTTGCTTACTTATACCACACCTTGTCGCTCGTGCCACAAACGCTAGTATGATACCAACGTTTACCGGTACCATACAGTTGTAGTCATTCGCTACATGAGTGACGAAGGGAGGAATGGAGGGAGAGGGAAAGAGTGTTCGGCTGCCATAATTTGAAGAAATTTCATTTCGAACAGCACCATCTTGGTGTGACAACGCTGTAATTGTAGTTTAAGGTTTTATGGGGATCACTGTAAACTATGGGTAAAAACGGTCCGCGCAGGAGTGGTCACACCAAGATGGCGCTGATCAAAGTAAAATGGTTTCAAATTATGGCGGCCGAAGACAGTAGTTGCTCGATCTTTTTTTTTTTTTCTTTCTTTCTTTCTTTATTCATAGATCATTGGTGTTGCTTGATAAAATCCCAGTTTGATCATTTCATTTTAAGAAATAGGGAGGTACACCCAACAACAAAAGCGATGTCGCCTCGCCAGACATGGCTTGGAGAGATCTCGCCGTCTTCCCCTGAGAGGTGGCCCACGCTCGAACAACCTGACTTAGTTAGGAGATGGGGGGGGGGGGTTAGATTCGCTAGGCAAAGCAAGGAGTGAGTGTTCGGCTATGTTTCAGTCCCATCTTATCGAGGCTAGTGTCTGCACCCCCCCCCTCTCTCTCTCTCTCTCTCTCTCTCTCTCTCTCTCTCTCCACACACGCACACATACACATTGTGAGTAATATTTGTGGGTATGAATAATGTATCGTCTCAAATAGTGCCTCTTGAGCTACCAAACATTAATAAATGTCTTTGGCCGCAAAACTTCGAGGGTAATGGGGTGTAAAGGTGTAGGTATCGATTCCCTTGTTTTCCTTTTATTTCGTTTATTTGTCTCCTACGAACCACGACCTCCAGTCGCGTTCATGAATCGCAAAGCACGGTTTGGTTGGGGTCAACTTGAGCGTGATGGGCTACTTGGCTCCGCCCCTCGCAATCATATACTTACTGAAAGTATTAATGTCTATTATATCAGCATTAAGTTTGAGATACAAATTGATTTAAAGTGCATCGTCAGTCAACCTAATTTATTATATCATTTCCGAAACTGTTAGTGAAAATGAATGATGTAAAATGAAAAGCAGTGAATGTGTACAGCGGTGTATTAATATAATGGTGTAGGATGCAGGTTTTGCGAAACTTATACTATTACCATATCTTTTAGTGTCAAATTATTAATTGACACTCTTTAGACCTGGACAGACGGCACTTCCCAGCGAACCCCTTTCTCGGCTCACGCTTGCTCACTCACCCCGCGAAGGGCCGAGTCAAGCTTCACTCTACCCAAGGCTAAGGGGATATTCCCTTAGCCTTGATTATACACCTTTATTTGTCGTTTCAGCGATTGGTGTCCAAGACCTTGTCGATGTTTCACCTCCAAACTATTCAAGAAACCCATTGCTTTCGATATCCGTCTTTTACATATTCATTTCATTATTTTTGGTAATGAAATAAATGTAAACATTTGGAAATATAATGACGTATGAACTAATGTCATATGTTCTTTTCCAAATAACATATCAAAAGTTTATCAAAATAGCGGATCCAGATGATACAAGACGAAGTGAGAGAGAGAGTAGCTGCTTAAGATAATGCAAAGCCATATATTAATATACATCCTTCATAAATGTATGGAGGATATTTTCGTCTGACGAATATTAATATGAGTAGTCAGTTCCAACGCTGTTAAATTTTTTTTTATATATGGAAAATATAATAAGGAATTGAAATAAAACGATGTGATAAGATTTCTTGATAATCATTTTCGAAATGATATACGCTAATTTGTTTCTTAAGGCAGGTTTCCAATATATCCATCAAATTAACAACTAAACAGGAATAAAAGCGATCCCTCTCTCTCTCTCTCTCTTCATGTATATTTCAGTTATTATTGCACTTCTTCGCCTGATTTCCGTACTTTCCCACCTCCTCACATTCGAACTATCCTAACTATGCCCGAGTTGTTTGAAGGTGGGCCTCCTTTCAGGGTAAGAAGGGCATGATCTCACCGAGCCAGGACTGGCGAGGCATCACCGCTTTTGTTGCTGGCTGTACAATGCCTCGACCTAATTTTCAGGCAGTTCTTTCGCTGTCTAAATTGCTCTACATTCAAGCAAACGCATTCACTCGCACCCTCACAACACACATTC